GTTAAGCTTAAGCTCATTACTTTTAACTTTTTTGCAGTATAATATCTAGCGTAAACTTAATATCATGGTGTAAGAAAACCAACTTATCGTAAGTCGGATTTAGAGTGAAGCTCAAAAGTAATATACAAACGTATCACTCATTTTAGTACAAAGTAAGGACTAAGCAAAGAAGGACACCAGAGATGATCACTCAGCCTTCAAAAAGAGCTAAATGTGATAACCTTACGAGTTCAAGGTGAGGTCCATAACCATGAGGAGCCAATTGCAGCCCGGTGTGTTTATCAGGATCTTATCAGTAAATGGTAAAGTGAAATTTACTTCAAAAACTCATAATAGTTTGTGGTCCCATTTGGACCAGATTGCCTCAGGCTTCGTTGAAACTTACGACACGTCAAATTCTACTTTTCGTAAATGATATGATATATCAAATATTATACTTGGTCAGTAAAGCGTTTGGGTACGAGAAAGAGTCACTGCACGAATGTGAGGTGAGAGCTGACTCGGCGTCGCACGCTCTTTGTAAGGCAAGACATCAAACGTCATTTTGGTATGAGGTCTGCTCTGCTTGTATTGCTGTATTAGCCGATGCTATAACTAAATAATCTATTCTTTTACTTAAGCCTACTCGCCGTCATAATTGGCATCAATGTATCAAAACGTAATTGTTCTAGCAGGAGGCGGTTCATCTGAGTAATGATTTCCTGCAACTCATTTTTTTTCTTCGCGTACATTAGCAGAAAATTCTATCAAGCGAATTTCAAACTTAATGATCTTTGATTGAGATGAAAAACAACTCTAAGAGATCTATTATTGTGCGATTATGAAAAAATTTAGATTCACTACTGAAATGACAATATTGAATTTTGCTGAGAGCCTTGCGCTTGCAGATGATCAAGAGTTATATCCAGATCACTATTATCAAGTACGACTTTGCCATGGGTCCTGTGGTGAGATCTTGTAGCACTTCGGCCTTCATTAATTGGCGCTGTGTAGGCGGGACTTAAACGTCTTGACTTTATGGAAGCTTTCCATAGACGGAAATAATGCTCGGTTGTTTAATTTCAGTAATAGTGCAGGTATTTGGGAGAATGTCAGGAAATCACTGTATTTTTATGAAAAAGTGATAAAAAGTTGAATTTTTCCTCTCCAGCTTAACCGCCAAGACAACAATAATTAATTCACACACAAACAAACAATCAAACAAGTGCATATTTTTGTACAGTTTCACGCGTAGCATACCTTCTCTCACTCGACATTGTTCTAAGTCAAAAGCGTTCAAGCATGCATCAACACTATTGTAGTGTCGATGCCGATAGCATATGATTTGCTGCAAAATGTTCTCATTTCTTCATTTACTTAGCTAAACAATATGATCACGGACAATTTGCTTCGAGAATACGTCAATTCTTCGAAAAAGTGATAAGAAGTTCAATGTTCCCACCATCGGACAGCCCCTCGAGTGTAACGGGGTTACATGAGAGTGACCCGTCACTCTCCCAAGGGAGCTGTGGTGTGGCACACCACATTACTAGATGGGTACATGGCTTGAGAGTCATGTAATAAGAAAACATTAAGGAACACCTATAAATATATTCAGTCTTAAAACTACCTAAATTTGGTTCATGTAATAGGAAAACATTAAGGAACACCTATAAATATATTCAGTCTTAAATCTACCTAAATTTGGTTAACGTGTCCTCGGACCAAGGATCTGTGAACTGCCGTTCACTTAGAGTTTGGATACTCTTGGAAGTCAAGCTTCCTCTGTGCAAGGTGCCGTGTGCCCCGTCACATCGACTGTCTCACCCAGCAAGATGTCGGCCACAGGGGCCATCTCTCTCTGGTGGACCATCAAGCCATATCAAAAATGAAGTTAGTAAAGTAGACAACCTCGGTTGCAACTGTTAGTTATGCTGCTGATGTTAATTCTTGCACTAACTCATGAGTTATGGTGACTGGCTCAAGTGGTTTGGCATCGTGATGCAGAACTGAAAGTTGTGAGTTCAATTTAGACATGATTAGTGCGTGTTTAACCTTTATGGTTAAGACTGCATATGTCTGCATATTAAAGTGTGT